AACTGCACATGCTCTACCTGCGCGAACCTTGGGTCTTGCGGTTTCGACGGAAACAATGGCGCAGGAGGAAACGCCGGAGTTGCTTCTCCAATCATTGAACCATTCACAGCAGCAAAACCAGAGTTGTTACCAAATCCAAATGGACATGGTTCATCGGTCCTGCCTGCTGGGCTCGGGTTCCCCGGCTCAAGGAAACAACGTTTGAGCAAGTAATCCCCGACTCTGAGTTCTTCAAAAGAGCTCCCCGAGTATACAGCCATGTGCGTAATCGAAAGATACAACCCTCGTGTACTCGCAGAGGTGGTACCTGTACCATCAGGCCCTTGACTAGCTTCATACTTGCAGATCCGGGTGTCCTGAGTGCCACATGACTTTCCATCCCCAACGTCTGACCCGCTGCTCGTCTGCCCGAAGCCTGACAAGGCGCTGCTCGTCTGCCCGAAGCCTGACAAGGCGCTGCTCGTCTGCCCGAAGCCTGACCCGCTGCTCGATGCCGCGCTCGAGCTCAAGCTCGCTCCAGCGCTCGACGACGCCTGGCTGCCTCCTGATCCGAGCCCAGCTGCTCCGCCGAATCCTGACCCGGTGCTGCCCCCGAAGCCTGGCAAGGCGCTGCTCGTCTGCCCGAAGCCTGACCCGCTGCTCGATGCCGCGCTCGAGCTCAAGCTCGCTCCAGCGCTCGACGACGCCTGGCTGCCTCCTGATCCGAGCCCAGCTGCTCCGCCGAATGCTGACCCGGTGCTGCCCCCGAGCCTGACAAGGCGCTGCTCGTCTGCCCGAAGCCTGATAAAGCGCTGCTCGTCTGCCCGAAGCCTGACAAGGCGCTGCTCGTCTGCCCGAAGCCTGACCCGCTGCTCGATGCCGCGCTCGAGCTCAAGCTCGCTCCAGCGCTCGACGACGCCTGGCTGCCTCCTGATCCGAGCCCAGCTGCTCCGCCGAATCCTGACCCGGTGCTGCCCCCGAAGCCAGGCAAGGCGCTGCTCGTCTGCCCGAAGCCTGACCCGCTGCTCGATGCCGCGCTCGAGCTCAAGCTCGCTCCAGCGCTCGACGACGCCTGGCTGCCTCCTGATCCGAGCCCAGCTGCTCCGCCGAATGCTGACCCGGTGCTGCCCCCGAAGCCTGACAAGGCGCTGCTCGTCTGCCCGAAGCCTGATAAAGCGCTGCTCGTCTGCCCGAAGCCTGACAAGGCGCTGCTCGTCTGCCCGAAGCCTGACCCGCTGCTCGATGCCGCGCTCGAGCTCAAGCTCGCTCCAGCGCTCGACGACGCCTGGCTGCCTCCTGATCCGAGCCCAGCTGCTCCGCCGAATCCTGACCCGGTGCTGCCCCCGAAGCCTGACAAGGCGCTGCTCGTCTGCCCGAAGCCTGACAAGGCGCTGCTCGTCTGCCCGAAGCCTGACAAGGCGCTGCTCGTCTGCCCGAAGCCTGACCCGCTGCTCGATGCCGCGCTCGAGCTCAAGCTCGCTCCAGCGCTCGACGACGCCTGGCTGCCTCCTGATCCGAGCCCAGCTGCTCCGCCGAATGCTGACCCGGTGCTGCCCCCGAAGCCTGACAAGGCGCTGCTCGTCTGCCCGAAGCCTGGCAAGGCGCTGCTCGTCTGCCCGAAGCCTGACAAGGCGCTGCTCGTCTGCCCGAAGCCTGGCAAGGCGCTGCTCGTCTGCCCGAAGCCTGGCAAGGCGCTGCTCGTCTGCCCGAAGCCTGACAAGGCGCTGCTCGTCTGCCCGAAGCCTGGCAAGGCGCTGCTCGTCTGCCCGAAGCCAGGCAAGGCGCTGCTTGACGCTTCAGACAATGTTGAATTTGGTTTTGAGCCACTATGTCTGGATGACGGATGTGTTGATGCTAGGTCGGGTGGTTGAACTGTGCTTG